TTTTTTTGGTCGTACAATAAATTTTTCTGGTCGTACAATAAATTTTTCTGGTCGTACAATAAATTTTTTGGTCGTATAATAAATTTTTGTGGTCGGACAATAATTTTTTTGATCGTACAATAATTTTTTTGGTCGTATAATAAATTTTTCGGAAACTTGGAAAGGATTTTTTTATCCTCTAATGGTTATTAATAAAATTCTATCTATTTTACAATAGATGTGTTACAATCAAGCTTCTGCTAGAAAAATGTTGCTTGCTAGTGTTATTTTTTGTTTTCTTTATTTGAAGCAAAACATTTTAATTTATTTATTTTTTTCCGTACATTTTGATGTCTTATAAAAACATTAACATTTAGTTGACAGTTTACCTCATAATTGAACAAGAACCACAAGAACCAAAATGTAATCCGTGTACAAAATGCAACAACTAAATCCAAACAAACCTTACGGTTGAAATGCCAACGAATAACACGTAAGCTATTTTAAAATCGCGATAACTATTCATTCGTATTTGATAGAGTTACCATAGCGATATATATTACCAAATGGTAGATGTTAAAAGCAAATTAGAATTTAAAGAATATTTAATGATGAAGTGGATATAAAAAACAAACTGAACAATAAATAGATAGAAGGAGGCATGTAAAAACGATAGTCTGATTGTACTTTTAAGTCTTTCGCTGGCTAATAACAAGTGAAAAATGACTTGAGAAATGCATATGGCTCTGTTATGTCCGCTTCTCCATAAAATGTAAACTTTTTCCTACCACCAATTTAAATTGTAGGTTGCACTTAATTATGCTTTTCTATTGCTAAATGTAAAAGAAACAGAAAAGAAAACTGTTTCAATTTGTAAATGCGAAATTAATTATTTATATTGATAAAAAAGACGCAGCGTAAACGGATTTAAAAAATTAAAAAGATTGACGCGAAAGATATCTAAATAACAAAATTATAAAAATTATAAAATTAAGTCAATTTAGTACACACAGGTTAAGACGCGAGAGACCGTTGCAACCATTTAACTGATGCGTTGAATAGAAATTAATTAAATACCTTTTTATTCATATCAATAATATATGCGAAACACCTCTAATTTATATTAAACAGCTTTTTATTTGAAGATAGAATAATTTCGTTATTCTTTTAAAAGGCGTCGCAGCCAATCTACAGATGATAGCAAAATTAAACAGAAAACTGAACTTAATTTTTCCTTTTCTATATCTTTAATTTAAAAGCCCATTCAACTTTATTTTTTTGTGGAAAGGGCAACCACATTCACCATCATAGTTGTGTGTTTTAACCCATTAGTTTGGGGAAAATATTTGTCAGTTTCAGATTTCTTTAGAAGCAATTTTTACTCGCGTTTTTTTGAAACGTACAATGAATTCTTTTAAAAGGTTTAGCTTTGTTTTTTTTGGGTGTCTCAACTGTAATTATTTGTTCTAGGACACCTGGTCCTATTCTACTTAATGGATGCAGAAATGGCATCCTCCAGAAATCGAACAACAACGATACATGCTGCCAATAGCGGTAGCGATACTTTGAAGTGATTCCGTCATGATGACTGTATCCCTCGAACAGATGTCGATTTATCTAGATTAAATTGCGATCCGAACAATTAAAACTGATTCAACAAAGCACAAACTAAGACTTAGTCCTAGCAGTAAGATGTCGCAGAAGAGTACGAAGTTGTACTGCCCACCAATCTTCCTTTATAACGTTGGCATAAAAAGCGTCATAGAAAAACTTCAGCCCAAAACACCAAATGTGACATTCAAATGACAAATGTGACTTATGCCAGCAAATGTAAACTCTACTTTACAGATCCTCCACTCAGCATTGCTACAGACGCTACGCAAAGGTGCTTACTCTTCTGCTCCAAAGAAGCTGAAACTGAAGTAAAAGTTTCTCTCATATTAAGATTACTGCAAAATTGCACAGACACTGGTATACTAAAAATGGCCTTAGACGATAGTGTTCCAGACACAGGAGCAATAGTTGCAAAATTCATTATATTTTTCTCTATAAAAGACAATCTTGACACTAGGTTCCTGCTAGTGACGGTCCAAATTCAATGTCACATGTGCCAACCAAAAGCATCTTCTGGATAAATGTCTGAGAAAAAAAAATGGCTGTGTCGAACCATACGTAGACTGTAATGCGACAGAGCTTACTGCAAATTGGAAGGGATGCCCAGTATACAAAAAATACCTAGAAGTACCCAAAGAATCAATCCAGAAGGTATTAAGCTATTAAAGTCAACCTAAAGAACACGCAAACATCTAAACCGCCTATAATAAACGAATTCCTTAAGTTAGCTAATTTCTTGCTGTATCCAGAAGAACCATCACTCAAGCGAGAGACAAGAATAATCCTTCCTGGATTCCAAAACATTCCAAAATACAAGGTCAAAGAAGAATTCTGCGCTCCTTAAAATAGTTCGAAAAAGTTATGATCAATACATGCACAAATTTTCTTGCTTTCAATCTTCGACGTCTTATCGATTTTTCCCGCCAAATAGAACTGATTAACTCTCTGTATCATAATGAAATTGACGTTGCCTTTATACAAAAATGCCACCCTAAGGAAAATCAATACGTCAATATAACGGGGTACATCTTTCTTTATGACTACTCTCATATCGGAGTAGCAATGCTGATAACAGACGCAATTCAATGCAAACTAATGGCTGTTCACAATGTTGGTTTCAACAGCGTCTTTCTACAAATTGATTACAAATCTGGCAACACTCGAAAAAGTACACAGTCGGATATTTATATATTCCCAGATCATGGATAATCCTGTAGAAAATGATCAAATTGTCACATTTTCATATTCAAACGGTGCCTCTTTTTTCGACCACTTCCGCCTAAGCCCTCAGTTACTAGACAAAAATCTGTCGATAGTCAACATCTCTAGTCTTCTCATGTTCGCAGGTCATTTCGCGAAGAAATTTGTTCTGTACAAAAGTCTGGTGAATGATATCTACAACTCGAAAAAAGACATATCACTGTCCGGAACGACTTGCTTATCACCAGTGGGCATCCCGCGCGATGATATTGACAGCGAGGCAGATCCGTTCGCAATTCACATGTTTTACATACACATCTCCAAGAATGCTTAATACTGTCATATAATTACCTCGATTGTTACATAATTCACACAATATGCAACACATACAGTAATTTACATACATTCATGTTTATACGAACCTAAGAACACACGTTCTGTAAATGCATACATCTCTGTCTCGTTGTTAAGCGCGTAGCATATCCACATGTTCTCACCGGGACTTACGCTAACACGATTATAGTTCTAAAACTAATTAAA